AAATCACTAGATACTTTCTTCCTGGTGAAAAATAAAGTCTTTGTCTTATCTATTGAAATTTTAAAACCCCAATTATATGACCACTCTTCTATACTATAAATTGCTTCTTGTAATTTTTTAACTATAAATTTCAAGTTCTAACCTCTCTTCCAGATTGCTCCATCATCAGCAAATAATGAACAACCCATCCCACTCTCTAACTTATCAAACATATCATTAATCATAATAGAGAAAAACAAAGGACTCACAATACTTTCTTGAGGTGTTCCGTTTTCAACAAAATATTTTTCTGACAATTGTTGACCTATTCTTACTTGTATAGATCTATTATGTAAGAAATCTTTTATCCAATTAAACATTGATCCTCTAACCCCCATTTTTCTTAATTTAATTAAAAAACCTTCTTTCCACATCATATCATAGGCTTTCTCTATGTCGAAGAAGACAGCCACCACACTCTCCTTATTAACTTGTCCTTTTCTGATTTCATGTTCTAAACACAAAACAGGGTCCATAGTACTTCTACCTTTTCTGAATCCACTCTGAAATTTTGACAAAAACCCCTTTTTCTCCACAAAATAACTCAGCCTTTCATTTATCATTCTTTCCATTATTTTGCATATATGTGATGTCAAAGCAATGGGCCTATAACTTGTAGGATTTGACTTCTCTTTCCCTGGTTTTAAAATTGGAACTATAATTGCTTCCTTCCATGCCACAGGTAAATAACCCTCTTCCCATATCTTATTAAAGAAATCTAATAATATCTTTTTAGATGAATTACTAAGTTTTTTAATCATAATATAAGAGATATTGTCTTTTCCTGGAGAATAATTTTTTGTTTTCTTTAAAGAGTTGTTCAATTCAAATAATGAAAAGGAATTATTCAATAGATCATTATATTCTGTATCTACTTCTAATAAATTACTATTTTCCTTAATAATAGAAGCTCTTCTCCTTATTTCTTCTATATTTAAGTTTTTGCTACTATGTATTTCAACAAATTTCCTACCCAGCATATTTGCCTTGTCCTCATCATTTAGAGCCATTTCATCTCCATTCTTAAGAACTGGATAACCATATTCCCTTCTAATTCCATTCATTCGTTTAATCATTCCCCAGATTTTTGAAATATTTGTTTCCCTTCCTATTGAATTACAGAAATTTCCCCAATAAACCCTTTTAGCACTTTTTACTGTTCTTTTAACCAAAGCTTGTGACTTTTTATATGCCAACAAATTCTCAAAATTTTGATTTCTCTTTAATAGTCTAAAAGCTTTATTTCTAGATTTAATTGCCAAATCACATTCCTTTGTCCACCATGGAACTAATTTTCTCTTATATTTTCCTTTTTTCTTTTGAATCGTTCCTCGGGCCGCTCCTAAAATAGCTTCGCAGATAGAAGAATTTATGCTATCTATATCCAAATTTAAATTAACCTTTAGCATTTTTCCATCACTTATTATTTTATATTTTTCCCAATCAACATTTTTAAAATTTAATTTTTCTATATTTTTATTAACAACTTTCTCTATTTCTAAACCGATTTCAATAACAATAGGATAATGATCACTTCCTAATGTTGATTCTTTTAAAACTTTCCAATTACTAATCCCAGCAAAATTGGCTGATACTAGAGTTGGATCTAGAGCTGATTCATTTCCATTTCTAATATAAATTCTTGTCCCTTCTCCATTATTAATACAGACCAATTGTTTCTTATCCATTATTTGTTCTACCACTTCTCCGTTTTCATAATTTTTATGACCCCATACAGTGCTAAAAGCATTAAAATCTCCACAACAGATTAGACTTTTTCCTAGATTTTTAAACATTTCCTCTATTTCATCTAAACTCAATTTTTTACAGGGATTATAAAAGTTTATTATCCTAATATGTTCTTTGTTAATCCAAATTTCCACAGATACCCATTCTAAAGATGATCCTTTATCTACAAACCTATATTGAATCCCTTGCTTAACAAATATTATACAACCTCCTCCACTTTCTTTCTCCCTATCCCTTCTAATGCTATCATATCCCGAAATCACAAAATCTAGATCTGGTCTAAGCCATGTTTCCTGAACACTAATAATATCTGGTTTAATTTCCAAACAGTTTATATATCCTTTCAATTCTTGACCATTTGCTATTAAACTTCTTGCATTCCATTGTAAGATAATCATTGAGTTTTTCCTCCACCTTGCTTTCCATCCATTTCAAGCCTTTCATTTATTAGTTCCCAAGATAAATCCTTCACGGCCAAAAATTTTTCTGCACCTTTCACTATAATTTTTATTTTTTCCGTTTTACTTGATCAGTACAGTTGATTACATATGCCATGAATAATATTAATTTATCCATTGTGATCTCCATTCCAGATTTTGAAGTTTGGCTGGGGTCAGCACTTGTGCTAGACATTACTTGTTGACTTTTCTGAACCATTCTTTTCTCTTGAACACTTTTTGCTGCCTCTGCATAAGTGATGTTTTTAATTGTTCTCAGCTGTTGAATTTCTGCTGCCCTTTTCCTTGCCTCACAACCTCCATATGCCACATTATGTTGACCCCCACAGTTACAGCATTTCATTTGTACATCCACTCCACATTCATCATATCGATGATCTCCTCCACATTTGGCACATCTTTGTTTCCCCTTACATACTGCTGCGATATGACCATACCTTTGGCATTTAAAACATTGCAAAGGGGGAGGAACATATGGTCTTACAGGAAAACTCATAAATCCAATTTTAATTTTATCAGGAAGGACTTCTCCTTGAAACTCCAAAAGAATCGATAAGCTCTCTATTTTTTCTCCATTTACATGCTTTTGCAATCTTTTCAATCTCCGAACTTCTCCCCCCTGTATATTCTTTTTGAGTCTTTCTAAATCCTCCTCCAGCGGAATATCAGTGATAACACCACGTGACACTCTATTTTCTCCAACAATTAGTTTCTCACTAACAACTTTTTTGCAAATGTTGTCAATCTGCATGCATTTATTCTTTTGATCTTCAGATTTGCATTTTATCTACATGTTTCCATCTCGTAATGTTTTAACAAATTCCACTTCCCCTAGTTTCTTTTTTATTTCCCTTGAGACTTGAATCGGGCTCAGGTTAACATTTATATCTTCGTTCCTGAATTTAAGTATTACCTTAAATTCTTCGTTTGTTACTTTTTTCCTGACTGCTCTGTTTTCTTCATCAGAGCTGTACTCTTCCAAACTTCGTTTACTGTTCTGGCTACCAATTACTCTATCCTCTCTCAGAACCTTCGCCTTCCCTCTACCTCTTCCTCTTCCTACCGATGTCCACTCATCAAAATCCATGTCATCCTCACCACCCCCATCTGACTTTGTTGCCATCCCGATCCAGTCACAAACCAGTTTATGTCAACCGCCTTCTCTCCGCTTGGTATCAGCCGCTCGTACACCTGGCGTGCTACCATCCACGTGTCCTCACCGCCCAGTCCAAACCTCCTCCTAAAGGACAAACTATATTTATATCCCCTGATTAATCCTGATTAAAAGAAACCTTTAAGTTAACTTGATCCTGGATCAGATCAAACCAGCAGGAACTTTTCTCTTTATTTAGTTTCATATTTAGAAACTAAAACATTCCTGCTTGATCAGGCCAAAAAAAACAATAAATATGCAGAAAAGATGGTTAAAGGTTTTCTATATTTCTGCTTCATCATATAAACCTGCTGCTTTCTCATTTAATCATGTGAATTAACTGTCAAAGCTCTCTGAGCGGTTACTGCAGCCCGGCAGGAAGAGTGAATCTGGCTGTTAATGAGATTTACACATTTTACGGCAGTTCTAATCCAAGAAAAACAAAAAGAGTGTTAAAGTTTAAAGTTGGTTAAAGTTTAAGCAGCTTCTCTGGCTCCTCTGCCACCAGTTTTAATCATGGAGTCCCAGAAGCGAACAGGAAACATTTTAGTGAATGAAATGAGCCAAAGAGCTGCAGGTCGCAGAGCTTCGGTCTAACGACAGGAAACGGATCCAGCTTCAGGATCTCTGAAGCTTTAAGTTTCATTCAGCTTCATTTCTGAATCACAGTAAAACTAATAGAAAAACTTCAAACAGAGAAATCAGGCGTGGTTTCAGGGGCAAATATCACAGTAATAATCAGTTTTATTTCTGCAGAACAGGTCAGAACCAGATTCACGGGGACATTGGCCCCCCGTTAGCCTCCGTCCAGAAACGCCCATGTTTACAGAGAGTTGATAAATGGTTCTCCTGTGGTTTAGGGGTCAAAGGTCAGTGCTCTGACACCTGATTCAGTTCCTGGTTCTAGTTTCTAGAATCTAGTTTGGAACAGAAAGATTCAGACAAAATCTGAAGCAAAGTCAGGAGAAAGAAGCACCATCGGTTCTTTCTTCATGGTCTTAAGCTTTACTTTCTGTGCTTAAAAGTAAGTTTTATTTCCATATTGGTTGATTTGTTTTGCTGTAGCTCATACGGACAGACCAAGCGTCTGCCTTTACGTTTTTTTAAATCTTATTTTCATTGCAGTGAGTTTAATTAAATTGTGAACTTTCTAAATATCAAATCTTTAAAATTTCTCCATAAACAGGCTAAAGTCCAGCAGTCTAAATCACCCAAACTGACATGAATACTTTGTCCGCAAGATGGCGCTGTACAGCAAATGGAGCATTGCCACTTTATCTCAGAATAAGGTTTCTTCCTGAGTTTTTCCTCTCCACCATCACTACAAGCATGCTTAGAGAGGAATTGCTGAAGAGTCAATGAGTCTCTGATCTGACCTTAGATGACATGTTTATTGGAGCTATAGGAATTAACTGAATAGAAGTTTTAGCCATTTCAATAATCTGATGGCGCCCTTAAAGGCCACGCCCCCTTCCCTGATGTCAGAGGCTGAACTGTTTGATGGGTTTAAAATGAAGTAGTCAACATTTCCTCCTGTTTCAATCCTTCAGCCAACAGATTAGATGATTTTATGCAAAAAGTAGAAATAAAAGCAAAGCAGATCTTTTTCTGAACCAAATCAGTTTATTGTCGGTCACAGAGCGCGCACAGGTTAGTTGGCGTGCAGAGCCTTCCAGCGGGACAGGGGGCCTCTGCTGGGGATGTATTTCACCCCACAGCCATCAGGGATCAGACGCTTCTCCGCCATCATGTCATCGAAGTCACAGGCATTGAACTTCGTGAAGCCGTACTTCTTGGAAATGTGGATCTGCAGATCAGAGTGATGACATCACTACACGCTCACAGCAAACATCAGCAGTAAAGAGGAAAATGGCGGGTTTGTCTCAGCGGTCCCTTAAAGCCCCCGGCACCTCGCAGCTGAGGACTTACACAACCACAGAGTCACTGTCTGCAGCCTTTGCACACCGGAGCCACACTGCAGCAGAACCGGTCGGCTTAATAAGCTGCAGAGCAGAACCGGCAGGTTCTGCAACCAGATGACATCCCTTCAGCTGGGACTTTACCTTCTGGCGTCCGGGGAACTTGAACTTGGCTCTGCGCAGAGCCTCCACCACATGCTCCTTGTTCTGAGCCTTGGTACGCACAGACATGATCACCTGGCCGATGTGGACTCTGGCTACGGTACCCTGGGGTTTACCGAAGGCGCCACGCATTCCCGTCTGGAGCCTGAAGAGATTCAGACGGGGAAAAAATTACCCAAAACACTCAAAGAATCCAAACAGCGGCGCCGCTTTGATGGCTCACCTATCAGCTCCAGCGCAGGACAACATCTTGTTGATACGGATGACGTGGAAGGGATGCAGCCGCATGCGGATGTGGAAGCCATCCTTACCGCAGGTTTTCACCATGTACTTGTTAGCACAGATCCGGGCGGCCTCCAGAGCTATGGAGAACAGAGCAGAAGGTCAGAGGAGAGAACAGAGCAGAAGGTCAGAGGAGAGAACAGAGCAGAAGGTCAGAGGAGAGAACAGAGCAGAAGGTCAGAGGAGAGAACAGAGCAGAAGGTCAGAGGAGAGAACAGAGCAGAAGGTCAGAGGAGAGAACAGAGCAGAGGGTCAGAGGAGAGAACAGAGCAGAGGGTCAGAGGAGAGAACAGAGCAGAGGGTCAGAGGAGAGAACAGAGCAGAGGGTCAGAGGAGAGAACAGAGCAGAGGGTCAGAGGAGAGAACAGAGCAGAGGGTCAGAGGAGAGAACAGAGCAGAGGGTCAGAGGAGAGAACAGAGCAGAAGGTCAGAGGAGAGAACAGAGCAGAAGGTCAGAGGAGAGAACAGAGCAGAAGGTCAGAGGAGAGAACAGAGCAGAAGGTCAGAGGAGAGAACAGAGCAGAAGGTCAGAGGAGAGAACAGAGCAGAAGGTCAGAGGAGAGAACAGAGCAGAGGGTCAGAGGAGAGAACAGAGCAGAAGGTCAGAGGAGAGAACAGAGCAGAGGGTCAGAGGAGAGAACAGAGCAGAGGGTCAGAGGAGAGAACAGAGCAGAAGGTCAGAGGAGAGAACAGAGCAGAAGGTCAGAGGAGAGAACAGAGCAGAGGGTCAGAGGAGAGAACAGAGCAGAGGGTCAGAGGAGAGAACAGAGCAGAGGGTCAGAGGAGAGAACAGAGCAGAAGGTCAGAGGAGAGAACAGAGCAGAGGGTCAGAGGAGAGAACAGAGCAGAGGGTCAGAGGAGAGAACAGAGCAGAAGGTCAGAGGAGAGAACAGAGCAGAGGGTCAGAGGAGAGAACAGAGCAGAGGGTCAGAGGAGAGAACAGAGCAGAGGGTCAGAGGAGAGAACAGAGCAGAGGGTCAGAGGAGAGAACAGAGCAGAAGGTCAGAGGAGAGAACAGAGCAGAAGGTCAGAGGAGAGAACAGAGCAGAAGGTCAGAGGAGAGAACAGAGCAGAGGGTCAGAGGAGAGAACAGAGCAGAGGGTCAGAGGAGAGAACAGAGCAGAGGTCAGAGGAGAGAACAGAGCAGAAGGTCAGAGGAGAGAACAGAGCAGAGGGTCAGAGGAGAGAACAGAGCAGAGGGTCAGAGGAGAGAACAGAGCAGAGGGTCAGAGGAGAGAACAGAGCAGAAGGTCAGAGGAGAGAACAGAGCAGAGGGTCAGAGGAGAGAACAGAGCAGAGGGTCAGAGGAGAGAACAGAGCAGAAGGTCAGAGGAGAGAACAGAGCAGAGGGTCAGAGGAGAGAACAGAGCAGAGGGTCAGAGGAGAGAACAGAGCAGAAGGTCAGAGGAGAGAACAGAGCAGAGGGTCAGAGGAGAGAACAGAGCAGAAGGTCAGAGGAGAGAACAGAGCAGAGGGTCAGAGGAGAGAACAGAGCAGAAGGTCAGAGGAGAGAACAGAGCAGAAGGTCAGAGGAGAGAACAGAGCAGAGGGTCAGAGGAGAGAACAGAGCAGAGGGTCAGAGGAGAGAACAGAGCAGAAGGTCAGAGGAGAGAACAGAGCAGAAGGTCAGAGGAGAGAACAGAGCAGAAGGTCAGAGGAGAGAACAGAGCAGAAGGTCAGAGGAGAGAACAGAGCAGAAGGTCAGAGGAGAGAACAGAGCAGAGGGTCAGAGGAGAGAACAGAGCAGAGGGTCAGAGGAGAGAACAGAGCAGAGGGTCAGAGGAGAGAACAGAGCAGAAGGTCAGAGGAGAGAACAGAGCAGAGGGTCAGAGGAGAGAACAGAGCAGAAGGTCAGAGGAGAGAACAGAGCAGAGGGTCAGAGGAGAGAACAGAGCAGAAGGTCAGAGGAGAGAACAGAGCAGAGGGTCAGAGGAGAGAACAGAGCAGAGGGTCAGAGGAGAGAACAGAGCAGAAGGTCAGAGGAGAGAACAGAGCAGAGGGTCAGAGGAGAGAACAGAGCAGAAGGTCAGAGGAGAGAACAGAGCAGAAGGTCAGAGGAGAGAACAGAGCAGAAGGTCAGAGGAGAGAACAGAGCAGAAGGTCAGAGGAGAGAACAGAGCAGAGGGTCAGAGGAGAGAACAGAGCAGAAGGTCAGAGGAGAGAACAGAGCAGAGGGTCAGAGGAGAGAACAGAGCAGAGGGTCAGAGGAGAGAACAGAGCAGAAGGTCAGAGGAGAGAACAGAGCAGAGGGTCAGAGGAGAGAACAGAGCAGAAGGTCAGAGGAGAGAACAGAGCAGAAGGTCAGAGGAGAGAACAGAGCAGAAGGTCAGAGGAGAGAACAGAGCAGAGGGTCAGAGGAGAGAACAGAGCAGAAGGTCAGAGGAGAGAACAGAGCAGAGGGTCAGAGGAGAGAACAGAGCAGAGGGTCAGAGGAGAGAACAGAGCAGAAGGTCAGAGGAGAGAACAGAGCAGAGGGTCAGAGGAGAGAACAGAGCAGAAGGTCAGAGGAGAGAACAGAGCAGAAGGTCAGAGGAGAGAACAGAGCAGAGGGTCAGAGGAGAGAACAGAGCAGAAGGTCAGAGGAGAGAACAGAGCAGAAGGTCAGAGGAGAGAACAGAGCAGAAGGTCAGAGGAGAGAACAGAGCAGAAGGTCAGAGGAGAGAACAGAGCAGAAGGTCAGAGGAGAGAACAGAGCAGAGGGTCAGAGGAGAGAACAGAGCAGAAGGTCAGAGGAGAGAACAGAGCAGAAGGTCAGAGGAGAGAACAGAGCAGAAGGTCAGAGGAGAGAACAGAGCAGAAGGTCAGAGGAGAGAACAGAGCAGCAGCCCACTTGTTGCAGCAGACCCACATTACACACATTAGCGCCACCTCAAGTATTGGAAATGTTTATCTATAGTTTAAATGTAAATCCCTTTATCTGCCTACATCCCCCAGAATGCTGTGGGGTTTGGGACTACAGCTCAGTGAGCTCACACTGCTTCCATCCAATATATTTTCCACTTATATTTTTGGTTTTATTTCTCTGCTCTTCAGTGTTTATCAGACGTTTTCCTCTAAAGTTTTTTCTCTCCAAGCACCTGGAATGAATGGATGAATAATCAACATGCAACCATTTTGTTGAGAGGCACCTGCAACAGGCGGGGGAGGGGCCCCTGAGGACAAGGACGGTTCTTACCTTCAGAGGAGAGCTGCTCGTACTCATCAGAGACCATGTGGGCACACAGAGGGAACTCATCCACTTTGGCCTTCTTCCTTCCCAGGTCAAAAATCCTGATCTTAGGATCTGAAATAAGAGGAAACGTTAGAAGACTGGATCCGTGCAGAACAGAGGATTTCATCCATAGGAATCGGTTTGTCTCAGCGGTCCCTTAAAGCCCTCGGCACCTTGCAGCTGAGGACTTACACAACCACAGAATCACTGTCTGCAGCCTTTGCACACCGGAGCCGCACTGCAGCAGAACCGGTCGGCTTAATAAGCTGCAGAACCAGCGGCTGGACGCCACCGATGACTGTCCTTTGGTTGGTTTGCTCCAAATAAAGTCCAGATTTAACAGGAACTGGATCAATTAATTCCCCAGGAACTGCCTTCATCCATTCCTTCCTATATCGTGTATAAAGAACCTCATAGTAGGAGCCTTTAAAACACAACTACACCTTTAATTTGTCCTGAAACCACCAGGAAACAAAAGCTTTTAAAGCAGTTGATCAAAATAAAGCAGATGTGATCGACATTTTCGCACATTGGAGAAATTCTCGCACGACTGGAGAATCGCACCGAAAAGGGCAAAAAAAAAAAAAAAACAGTTTACTCCCGGCTTAACTTTAGTAAAGAGACTCCTTCCGTTGAGCGACCCACTTAGCACAGGAATTATACAAACATTGAAAATATACATTTTACATTTAAGCTTAGTCTTTTTCATCTGTAAATCTGCTCTACAATTCAGAAGCCTTTAATTTCAGCTGGTTTAAATCTTTAACCGGTCTGCTATAAAGTATCTGATCATTAATCAATAAAATAAATCAACCAGTTAATCAGGTCCTACTTAAGTGCCTCAGTTTCACCTAGGCAGGAAGGATTAAAATGCTGACAGAAACCAAGCGGTCAAATAAAACGGGCTTTCTTTAGTTCAAGGGAGCATCGGCGTTTGGGACAAAGGATATTTTTAGGGAACCTGGAGTCAGGGGATCCCTGCAGCACCTCCCAGACCTCAGGAACTTTAAGATCTTGATTGAAAACATAAAGATGAGGTAGACCCGAGCAAAGCAGCGGGTCTCTGTAATAAATTAAGGACAGACGAAGTATTAGCGGCTCTCACCAGGAACTCCTCTGCAGAAGCGAGACTTGGGGTAAGGCTTGTTCTTGCAGTAGCGGTAGCTGAAAGACAGAAGACATGGTTCAGTGGCAGCCCTAAACCTCTGCTGACATGAGCATCAAAGTCTTTACACCCATTTGATATCCTCAGAAATATCCCTGAGGGAAAACCACAGCTGTTAGCATCCCGTTACCTAAAGAACCCTTTGGTGAAACATGGTGGTGGCGGGCAAGCAGGACAGTCTGCCTGTGATCCTGAATGGAGGACACCAACCAAAGCAGCCTGCTAAAACTGGTGTAAGGCAGTGGTTCCCATTATAATGGTGCTCAGGGACCCTGGAGGTTTTAGATACGTCTCTGTTTCAGCTCTTCTCAAACCAGGACTGCTGCTCTTCTACAGTTAAGCTCTACAGAAGCCTGTTAATCATCTGGAACCAGCGGGATGGGTCCCTGAGGGCCGGTCTAATGGAACACATTTAAACGCTGTAGAAAGGTCTAGTCAAAGCCCAGAAGTGAATCCCACTGAATAGACTTCAGACTTTAGGTTAACTGCTGTTCTTCAGGGAAAAAACAATCCAGTCTGATCCATTATGGCACTTCTTATAAGATATAAAAGCTTTATTAGCTCAGATAATGTTAGCTTCACACTGACCGTCCCTTTCATGTCCAGGATTTATGCTAACATGCATGGAGGGCTGTGAATACTTCTGCAGGCTAGTTGATTCTGATAATGCATGAGACCTGCTGACATATAGAGACATGTAAACCTGCATAAGGTGGGAAATATTTACAAGTTTAACTTCACGTGGAAATTTAATTAAAATACTTTTAACTGAAGCTGTTCATCCTGTTAATAAGCGATATAAAATTATCAAACTAATAAAGATTAAGAACTTCTCGTTCCCTCATAAGGCTATGCTAATGCTAAATTCCAGTTAGCCAGCTTTAGCTTAAGGCCTCGGACTGAATTAAAGATTCAAACCGGCGGCAGCTGCTCCTAAAGCCGCCGGCGGAAGGTTAGGAGGCCCGCCGGAGGGCCGGTCTCTCCGCGGTGAGGCCGGTCTCTCTCCTCCCCCCCGAGGCCGGTCTCTCCGCGTGCAGCAGCCTCCCAGCCAGCAGCCATTTTCCCCCTGAACTCCGCCTGATGTTAGGAAGCAGTCAGAAACTCACCAGCGAGCAGGTCGGCGGCCCATGGTGGCGATCTGTGATTAATAAAAAAACAACCAGTTACTTTGATTCAATCTAAACCCACTTTTAACTAATAGAACATTAAATATGTCGGTTAAAGCGGCAGAGCCAGAGAACGTGCTGCCGCCACGGACTCACCTAATGGAGGAAAGGAAGTAGAAACTACTTCCGCTACGTCATAAGAACGGAGGGCTGATGGGTCGCATTTTATTTTCTTTATTTGGAAGATATTTTAGGGTTTTGAAGGTGTTTTTAGCATAAAACTATTTTACACAAAGATTTTATTATTTTATATAAAATGTGCTTAAATTGATTAAATAGGAAAATAGGAACTGGAAGAGCAAGTGCGCCCTCTATTGGCAAGTTAATTCAGTAAACGTATAGGCTAAATAAAACACAAACTATTCTTAATAATATTTGCACTACTATTACTTCTAAAATGTATAATTTATTTTTTTAAATTCTTAAAATTTGGAGTTTCTAATAATGATCTATAATGTGATTTGGTGTAAAATTGTAAATTTCAAAGACAGAATTTGACTTGCAACAGCAGGAGAAGGTAAACAGATATAATGATGAGAGCACAGAGCTCATAGCCTCTGAATTAATGTAAATAGAAATATAAACCCCTTATTATTCCCCAATGGATCAACTATTATGAATGACAAAGCTCATTTAATATCTTTCTTTCTTTCTTTCTTTCTTCTTGTTTAATGGCGGTTGACAAGCAACTTATTGGTGTGCATTACCGCCACCTACTGGTAAGGAGTGTGGATCAGGACGCAACCTTAAAAAAAAAAAAAAAAAAAAAAAACTAAATCCTTTCTATCAGTTTAGTTTTCTTAAGAAATCTTAATAAATGACGTAAATATTCAGAAGAGGAGCAATATCCCAACATATCTGATATTTTTAATTGTAACTTATTCTTTAGAAGTCGATATTCTAATTTCCTTCTCTCCTCAGAGTACTTTGGACAAAACAACAAAACATGTTCTACTGTCTCTTCTTGAAAACAAAATTCACAATTTCCTGATGGATGTCTTCCCATTATAAATAATGTACTGTTTAAGCCTGTATGACCAAAACGTAACCTGGATATGATATTATCTTCTTTTCTACTTCTTCCTGTTCCCCTCATTACCCCAACTTTCCTTTGAATGCTATAAAGCCATCTACCAGTTCTTTCCTCCTCCCACTGCTTCTGCCATCTTTCCTTAACCTTTTGTTTTATAATAGATTTTATCTCCTCTTTACTAAATGGAATCAGTATCTCAATGCAACTGTTTTTTGAAGCTTGTTTTGCATATCTGTCTGCCAATTCATTTCCTATTACTCCTATATGAGATGGAACCCATGTAAAAAGGACAATTAATCCCATGGTCTGAATTCTATAAAGTATTAACTGAATCTCCAATAGAAGGTCTGGTCTACTATTGGAATGATTATTTTTAATTGAATATAATGATGAGCTTGAATCAGAGCAAATTAAACTTCTTAGAGGACGAACATCTTCATTCCAACTCAAAGCCAAAATAATTCCCATAATTTCCCCTGTAAACACTGATACGTCATCAGAAATCCTCTTACATTTTTTAATATTAAATTCTGGGACGATAAATGACACCCCATTGTTGTTACTTAGGCTTTTAGATGCATCTGTATACACTTGAACATAACCAAAATATTTATTTTCTATATATGATTGGACTGAGCAAGATTCTGAAAAATTTCCTTTTTCCCTCTTCTTCAACAATGATAAGTCCACAATGATTTCATTAAATAGAGATGGATGAACCAGTGGCAGAGGAACTGTATCACTCATTTTTATGGATGATAACTGAAAATTTTTAACATCATTTTCTATCTCCCAACCAAAGGATTTTAAAGTCTTTTTCCCTTTTCCCAACTAGGTTTTAAATTTCTTGACATGGATGGTTTTTATAATGTCATTTAATATCAAGCTGTAAAGCAGAGTATAAAGGAATTATCATACAGCATATTCGGGTAAAAATTTATTATTCTAATTAAATAGAAGACAGCAGCCTATTCACGGAGCAATGTTAAAATGCAGTATGTAGGACTGCCCTGACAAACACTCATGGAGAAGCTAAAAATTGCAAATGGACTCTAAAATCTGAGATACAGCCTAACTCACTCCTTATGGGAACAAGTCAAAATTTGTAAAGACATTAAATTCATTGGGAGCCACAGAGATTATAAAGTGTAGCAGTAGCTGAGAAGAAGGATCTGAGATTGTGCTTTTTTGAGCAGCTATCAAAGCATCTACACTTTAATTTGTCATTGAAGGAGCTCTTTGAAAGTGCTTGATGTGTGAGACAAGAGACACAGTCCATCAGTTATGCTCTGTTTATCACAGACCCTCTGTCTCCAACCAACTGTCCAGAGGAGATCCTCCTAATGAGATCATCCAACTGCTTTCTCTCAGCTGCAGATAACTCTAGCTCAGCCTAACGTTAGCAGAGAGCCAAAAGCAGAGGTTGTTCACAGGCACTAGTTCTGCTAATCTAACACAAACCTGTACCTGACAGCTTTCACAGCTGTGAGTGGGACTGCTAGTTAAGGGTTAGTGGTTAGGGCGCGGTTGGGGATTGGGCCTACATCCTTCACCTTTTGACTTAAAACATCATCTGGCAGTAAAATGAAAAGCATCATCAGCTGTCAGGATGTGTGAGATGTTGTAACTGGACCATTAGAGGGCAGCATTGCCCCAGGTATGGAGTGTGCAGCTCCAGTAGAGAAGCAATGAGCTCACATCTTCAGTCCAGTAAATGAAAGGCAAATGTTTCCAGGAACATGAGGAAAAATATCCTCCTCTTCTGAACAACAGCATCATTCGTCACCTGATTCCTGAGGAACCATCTGAAGGATGCGCCTCAGCAGCTCTAGCATCACTTTCAGGGTCTTTGTATTTTGCTGGTGTTTGAGGAGTTTAAAAGCGCCAGGCCATGTAGGGCAACCTGTGAGAGCCTCAAACACAAAGCCGATTAGTCACACAGGAAGGCCGTCTGAACTTTGGCTGGGATTCCTGTACAGCTTCATGTGAAGGTCAGCTGTCAGCTTCCTATCTTCTCCGCCTTTGCTGTTTTGACTGTTTCTCCTAAAGACGTTTCCTGTCTCAGAGCCTGAAGGCCAGCACAGGCCGTGACTTCATGGAAAAGAACACGAACCAAAAAAGGTCAGAGGATACTCATTCTGCTGAACCATGACAGAGATGAGCTCACAGTTATAAACACAACATGGAGACAGAAGAAGGCCTCTGGTCTCTGACACAGCACTGAGGGGAAAACGTCCCATTCTAGTCTCTAACACAGCACTGAGGGGAAAACGTCCCATTCTAGTCTCTGACACAGCGCTGAGGGGAAAACGTCCCATTCTAGTCTCTAACATAGTGCTGAGGGGAAAACGTCCCATTCTAGTCTCTAACACAGCACTGAGGGGAAAACGTCCCATTCTAGTCTCTGACACAGCGCTGAGGGGAAAACGTCCCATTCTAGTCTAACACAGCACTGAGGGGAAAACGTCCCATTCTAGTCTCTGACACAGCGCTGAGGGGTAAACATCCCATTCTACTCTATAACATAGTGCTGAGGGGAAAACGTCCCATTCTACTCTATAACATAGTGCTGAGGGGAAAACGTCCCATTCTAGTCTCTGACACAGCGCTGAGGGGAAAACGTCCCATTCTAGTCTCTGACACAGCGCTGAGGGGAAAACGTCCCATTCTAGTGTCTAACATAGCACTGAAGAGAAAACATCCCACTCTACTCTGTGAAAAAGGCTGCCTGACAGTTTGATGTGTTGAGCCCTTTAAGGGGCGGGGCTTAGGGCACCGCTGTGTAGCATGTAGATGAGGAAGGTGAGAGAAGGAAAAAGGAGCAATGGAGTTTACCGTTCTCAGTTTGTGGATTCTGTCCTGCTGTTGCAGTTTGTTGTCACCTTCCTTTTGATGTGTGTGCGTGAAATGCAAGTAAGTAATGTCAGAAGTCAGTGACATTGTTTGTTTAATGAAGTATTTCAGTTTGCTTCTAGTTTATGACATGTTTTATTTATGTGCACACTTAAGAGTTAAATAATGTGGTTTGCTTATTCATGCGGTGTATTTAGTTAGAAAAGAGATGTTTGTACTAATATTGCAGTTTATAATGTGAGATATCAGTTTAGTTATTTGTTAAGAATTATTCAGACAGTGATATTATATTTTTGTTGTCTTTCTAGAAAAACCATACACATTGATATGGAAATTAATGAATAAACTGCAAGGACAAGTTTGACCTATTGGAGTACGACTCTGCTTTCTTGGGAGTTCTAACCGGACTCACCACAGCGATCTGAACTTTCCTACTAGCAATTAAAGTCCCTATTTTTCATTGGTCCTTCGAGCCGGATCGCAGATTGCTGTTTAAAGATACAGAACCCAGAGTCAGAGACCATGGACACTCGACCCAAAAGGCGAACGTCAGTTCCTTCCTACCTATAAGATTATGACCTAAGTGGAGCTGGAGCTCAGAGTAGATTCCGAACAGCAACTGCAGGGGAATTTTCAGTGGAGAAAATGGCACAAGAACGTCCAATTATCAGATCTCCATCACCGCCCATTAGCCAGAGCTTCGACTCGATGAACACGGAGGATGATGAGGAGCAAGAACGAGAGCTTTGTCAATCTATGGAGCAAGTCACCGGGAAGCAGCAGACCAACCAAATTCCTGAGTTTAGTGCTGCTCTCCAAGAGATGCGCCAAGAAAATGCTGAGCTTCGTAAACAGTTTCAGAGCCTGATGGTTGCTATACAGTCCCAGCCAGCATCCCATCAGCCTCTGTTCCCACCTCCTCCATCTCAAAGTGTTTATAGTGGTGGTTATGGACATTACCAACCCCCTACCAATACTCCAGCATACCAGCAGCTGCACTATCCAACATACAGCTCACAAGGAAAACTGCGATCAGATTTAACTAAATCTAGATTTTCTCAAACATCCGGTGGTTTGCCTCATAGCCCATACTACGCAGACACACCGCAGCAGTGCACATTTTCCTATCCACAGAGAAATTCTTCATTCTACCAAGCC